TATATATATATATTTGATTAAAGATTATAGCATGAATGAATGATAAGTCACCCAGAAGCCTTAAGGGAGGGAAATTGTAGGACAGAAATATTTGGTTTATCAAGCTTGTTTTTGTTTTATTTCAAATTTCTAATGAGTATTGGATACTCATGCTCTAAATTTATGGCACTGCTTGCGACATAAGTGTGCAATAATATTATCAGTTCTCAGCGTTTGAAAAGTCAACATCCCTTTAATATTGTGGCAGGGCATGGACGCGAAGGTGACAATTGGACAGAGTATGTGCAATATTTTGGGACTACATTTCCCAGAAACTCTTACTACCCGCAGCAGAAATTTCCCAACCACCTCTTGCCCTAGTGAAAATTTTAAAAGCCTTTGTTTCACAGCAGGAGGGGAGGAAATCACCAGACTGGCCATGCTGCCTGGTAGGACATTTCCTCCTTCCTGGGAGACCCTCAATACAATTCTCTAAGCAGAAAACCCATTCTGTGCCTCTCAACATAAACCTTTGTTTTGAGAAGGCAAGAACCTGAAACTCCAATGACAATAAGGTAGCTCTAAATAAAATAATGGCATGGTACAGGATCAGAGGACTGCTGGTGCAATGGCTAAGTGTTTTGGGGTGTGCGTGCACGCGCACGTGTGTGTGTGTGTGTGTTTGTAGACATTTTTTTCTCTGTGTCTTGACCTTCTTAAAGCAAGAGCAGTAAAGTTTACCAAAAACCTCAGCTACATACAAATTGAGAACACACAAAGTGATTTCCATTTTTATAAAATGTTGAATTTAATAAGATTGCCAAATTAAGGATGATGACATCATTTTTGGAGGAGGTCAGGAAAAATATACACAGTAATTATTACCCATAACACTACCATACTATTTTTGCAGAAGTTGGGATTTTGAGCTGCTTACAGTCGATGTTTAATATATATATATTCAATACAGACAGCATATATAAACGGTTTGCCTCTCTATAAGTAGCACCTGGCTAAGGTAAAAAGACATTCTAGAACTAAAGTCATTGCCCTCCATTCCATTCTGTCTCGTAGTGATGTAATAGGAGAGCACAGAAATGCTCCAAAAAGATCTCCAAGACCAAAGATCTCTAAGGAAGCAGACGACCACAGTATGGGCTTGGTGACAGAAGCAAACCTAGATAACACATGATACAATGTTTCAAGACCAGTGAGCAACACCAAAGGTGCTGTACTCCTAGACTTCTCTCGATGGATTGACTGCACAGAAAGCAAAGGGACTACATCTGTGCAAAGAGATGGTAGAAAGCTCAATCTCAGCAGCTAAAACCGGCCAGGGGCTGATTGTAGAACTGACAACCAATTGCTCATATGTAAGTTCAGGTTAAAGCTGAAGAAAATTAAAACATGCTCTCAGGAGCTACAATATAACCTTGTGAGGA